GCACCGCGCAAAGATCTTTTTATTTAAATACAATGATTTAAAAACTCTCGTCGTTTTAACAAGTTAAATAAAATACAGTGTAAATATCGCCTCTCGTGTTTTGTTTTTTTTTTATCTCGACTACATACAGCTTATTGGGAAGCTTCATGTACTTTACAGCGCAATCAGGTGTCAAACTGCCTGATCTTTGAAAGCAACAGATTGTATAAAACACCGTGATATAAAAAAAAAAAGAGTGCCGGTATAATGTACAAAAAAATATTTTTTTTACAGTAATTCAGTGTCTACAAGTCAGATATAAGTGTGTCATGGCAAATCCTCTTCCCTGACGAGGAATTGTTGGATAAATTGCTGCGCTTTCCTCTTCTCGGCGATGTCGGGCGTGGGGTGGTCGGGAGGAGGCCGCAGTAACAACCCCCCGAACACGCTGGCTGTGGGGAAAGCACAGAAATGTGAAAAAACCCGCCTATTTTATCATTGGATTTTCGCAAATATTCAAATAAATATTATATATGTGTTGTGTTAGAAAGTTATGCTGTGTTAATTCCCTTAAGCAGTGTGTTACATCTGTAACTCTTTGTTTCTATTATCTCATATTGTCCTAAATCCAAATTGTCCAAATTATTATTACTCTAATTGTATTACTATTTTTGTAACCATTTTATTACTATTAAACTTTTAAAATTTTAAAAGCAGGTAATTGGCTTTTTTCACATCTCACATCTTTGGGTTGCTTCCCCAGATTCCTGCTTTTCTGTGGACTATTTGTTATAATAAAAGGTTCAAAGCTCTACAAGCCACCACTGCACTCAGGTATGAAGTGTTTGGTGCATCCCCTCTGAACAGAGGGTTATTTTGCAGGCCTTACCAAGAATATTCACATCCAAATGGTTTTTCCCTGAGTTCTTCAGTAGCTCTCGTAGAAATGCCATCAGATACTCAAACACATTTCTGTGGAACACTGGCAGGTCAGCAATAATCTGAGGAGGGGAAAAAAAACCCCACATTTTTATGGGACACTGGTAGGTCAATGAAAATCTGAGGAGGGAAAAAAACCCACAATTTTTGGACCATTGGTAGATCAGAGATAATCTGAGGAGGTAAAAACACCAACATTTACATTGCAGGCACAGCAATGCCTTCCAGCTGCACCAGCCCCCAAAACCCCCCTGGCTGCAGGTGCCAACAGCTCTTTATAAACTAAAATCACCAATTCCAGATAATTTTTATTAAGAGAGGATTAAGTTACTGAAAGT